CTACCAGCTCCTGGACCCGTACGTCACCGTCAGCGTGGACCAGGTGCGCGTTGGGCAGACCAGCACCAAGCAGAAGACCAACAAGCCCACTTACAACGAGGAGTTCTCCGCCACGGTCACTGACGGTCATCAGATCGAGCTCTCCGTCTTCCACGACACCCCCATCGGCTACGATGATTTTGTGGCCAACTGCACCTTGCACTTCCAGGACCTCCTGCGCTCCGCGGGCCCCAGCGACAGCTTCGAAGGCTGGGTGAGTAGCTGTCTGAAGGAGAAGCTGGAGCTCTCGGAATGAATGAAGGCGCTCGGAGGGTATTTGCAGAGCTGGGGCTTGTCCTTGCATGCCTGTGCCACAGATGCACGCAGCCCTGCGTGTATGTCTGCGCTCACACAGGTGTACCTCCCTGTGTCTTTTCCTGCTCCCGTGTTTTAGTTTCACTTGGACTGCTCTTTAGACTGATATTTTGGCTGGGACCCTAACAAGAAAAGTTCTCAGGTGTTGTAGTTTGAGAGTCAAGACCCTGTAGCTGTAGGCTGTGAAGTCTGTCCTCTTTGTACACTAGTAGAAGACTTGTAACATGTAACCAGCAAAGTACACCTGCAGGCTCACACTATCGTGTACCTTCCTTCATTTGCTTAGCACACAGAGACTGACTTGGATACTTGGTTGGATGTATTTCTGCTCAGATCTACACATGCTTGCACAAGTGTTTGATGCGTGCATGCAAATTTCTTTGACTTCTTAGCAGAATGGCACGACTAGTCTTGTGCCTGTTATGTACACCGCTGCGCTGGTTGAACACAGTTTCACTTGCAGCTAATTCTAGGTTTCCAAGTAGATGTTGCGTGCATCCGGCCCAGGGAACTTCATTTACGTCTTAGTCCTGATGCTAAGTGAAAGGAATACCACAGGTTCTAAAGCTGTGCCTTTCCTTCCAGTACTCTAAAGGAGGAGAACGTGACCATATCAATCCAGATAGTAATTTGCTTGTGAGTGTTAGGTTAAAAAAAGGGGGGGGGCAAAGGCATTTCTTTTGGGTAGGAAAGGTGCAGAAGAGCTGACAATTTCCAAGGGTAAGGTAGATATTAACTTTTTGAGGCCAGGAAGTAGTTTAGCACGTGTGGTTGGGTAACCACCACAATAAAATCAGAGGTGGAGGAAGGAGAGCTGACAGGGTAGAGAACAGATAAGCATCTTGATTGTATCACTGAGGAGAGCGCTGGTACCTTCTGTTCTCAGCCAGTCCCTGTGACAAGTGTGATGAGGCTACACCTCTGGGGTGATCACAAGGAAATACCGGGCACGGGACTGATTAATAGCTGTATATTGGTCCTTTTCTTTCTTTTTCCCTTATGCTGTATTAGGTACCCTATGGATAGGCTTGAAGTTTGTGCACCAGAGGTGGTCTCTCTCAGTCACTGAGAGTTTTTGTGTCAGGCTGAGGGATCCAAGTCAGCCTCAAACAGGTTAGCTTAGGTATTGCTCCTGACACCACAGAGTTTCCTGAGGGTTTGCTTGGTGGGTGCATACCCAGCTTCCTGGGCTAGGTGTGCTGCTGGAGAGAAGCTGCTTCTGGACTTGTGCTAGAAGAGTTTTAAATACACACCAGACCTCTGTGGGCCAAGGTGTGGGACTGAGCTCAGGGTAGAGAGCTGTGGTTCTGAGAGTTTGCTTTTTGTTTGATTTGCTGGGGGTGTTTCCTCTTTGCTCTTGAGACAGGTCAAGCCTCTTGGGAGGCTGGAGGCCAGGTCCCACTGGGTCTGGCTGCACGTGACACTGGACTGCACTGTTGCAAAGGTGGTGGCATTACTTACGTTACTAAAATATCTATAATAATATTTCTTCCAGTGGGAAGTGGGCTCACCGCTTCTTTCATTTCAGCCATCCTGCAGTGCAGTCTGTGTCCTGAAATGCCTGTTTGGTCTTTGTGAGGAAAAAGTTTTTTGTTCCTGATGGATAGGCATGTGTTTTATGAACTCCTGTAGCTGTGAGTTGATACATGCAATGGGGTGGGACATTTTTTAACTAGACTGATGTAAACTAATATTGTAGCTGGGCATGCAGACAGAGGCTAAGAGCTGCTGCTCTCCTTTTCATTAATGTCTAAAAACTGCAGTTGGGGTGGATTTAGTGAGGAGTAAGGGTTCATCTTCTGTTCACTTTCTGCTCTCCCCTCCCTTTTGACTTGCTTTGTTAGCATCTCTCATAGCGTGCAGCTGGGATCACATGATCACAGGCAACAGCATCTTACCCTGATAATTTAATAAGTCTTGATAAATTCAGCAAGGCTGTCACGGGATTTTGTGTAATCAGAAAGATAGGAAATGCTGGTTTGTACTAACCCACAGTCCATGAACTGCTGGCATGATACAAGGCACCACAAGGGATTTGTAGATGATTTGTCACACCTCCGTTCTGAAATCCTTCATATTGCTCTTTTTCCACCCCAAAGCAAAAGCCCATGTAGGCAAGGAAGGAGTGAGTGGAGCTGGGGGAAGATTGGCGAATCCTCCAAGTTTAGCCTGGCTGACACTTACTTGGCTGTGCATGACTTTTCATTTTGATTTGAAATAGAATTTCTACATTTGCTTTTCAAAGGCAAGGACAAAAATATATTAATGATCTCCAAATGTTCCTTGGATTGGTAACAGCCAAACTGGCTGCCTTTGCTCCCTGAGCTCTGCTCCCAAGAGCTGAGCTTCCAGGGATTACCTGGAACAGTCCCTCGGCTCAGGTGCTGGCCTGAAAGTTTCAGTGAGAGCTCTCAGGCTTATGCTGCTCTGTTGATGAATGAAAAAAAAACGTGATGCGTTGTAACATTGGTCACGGCCTATTGTGAGAACTGTAGGAAATATCAGTGAGAGGCAAGCAGGAGCAGTTAGTGTGTAAGCAGTGGTGCTTCCCAGGTGACTTGCAGGTACATCACTACAATTATGACCCCAAACACTTAGGCAGGTGAGTAGGAGTATGGACATGACCTGTCTCATCAGTAATGCTTATACACCTGAGTCATCCCACTGGGTACTGGGACAGAGTTCTCTCTTCCTGATTTCCATTGAAATCCGTGTTCAAGAGACTCTTCAAAACTGACATTTTTTTTTCTTCTGACCATTTTGATTGTTTTCTGAAGCCTTTCTGGTGAATGTATTGGCATGGCCTGGATTTTTTTTTTTTTTTTTTTTAATTTGCATATTAGTTAAAAACATTTGACTAATTTTACAAAGATCAGAACCTTAAGAGCTTACTAACTTTAAGATCCTCCTCGCTTTCTAATTTTGCACATTTACTTGACGAGTTGCAGAGCAGTAGTTTTTATTAATACTGTCTATTCAATGCTGTTCTGCCTTCAGTGTGCTTCAATGTAGTGAAAAGCAGGAGTGATCTCTCCAGTGTCGTGTTGTTTCTGGTAGGCATTCTCCTGTGTGGGTGTGAAATTGTGCAAACCTGAATGGCAGCATTTTACACAGGTGCGCATGACCCTGCCAGGCGCAATGCAGCAGAGAATTCATCTGGCTGCTCTCCGAAAGCTGTTGCTTATGATTTACACCAGGGTTGAAACTTGTCTTTTAAAACATTTAATTTTGCACTAGTATATGCTAAGTATCTTTTTACTCAGTGTATATCTCTTTAAAAGGTAGTGTCTCCTCTGTCTCCAAGTGCAGCATAGCAAGCAGCCGTAAGTCAGTGAAACAAAATAAATAATTTGGAGTACTGAGCTGTAAGTAAAAGGAGAGATGTTTACAATACATAGGATTATGAGTTTTATGTAATAGCTGAAGTAATTTTTAAGCTTGGGGAAACACCATTTAGAAATACTGAATTGCGTTGTTACTAGGGAATTATTTAATTACAATTGTAAAAATTGTTAGTCCCTGGGTAGAGATGTCATAATTTCTACACTTTAACAAGGAGCTAAAATTAAACCTTGATCCTGAATTAGCAAATTATCAGAGTATGTCAAAGAAAATTAGATAACAGATGGACTTGATAATCTTCTGTTAACGAGCTAATGGCAAGTTCCTGAAGACTTTGTTACTATTTGCTTATGTGTGCAGGAGTAGATTAAGACAAATAATTCTCATGCATTCCTTAACTTGAACTCTTTCACCTGTATCCTCTCCTATGATAGTTTTCTTTCTTAAGGCAAAAATAGTTTTACCCATGTTTATATACAATTGTATTTATTGAATGTTAAGTTGAAGAGTTAGAGGAGAATGCAACTTCTCCTCCAGAGCATCATGACCTTGGCAGAGGGCCAGGATGCTGCAGGTCAAATATGATATGATTGCTCCTTGTTTTAACTCCATCTTTGCTGCAGAGTGTTCTCCAGGTGGGCAAAACTCACCTCAGGAAGCTAAAACAGCTGTTGATAGGGGATTTTGCAGTGCAGCATTTGTCAGCATCAGGCTGTAGAGGTGGGCTGCAGCCTGTGGGGTGGGTGTGACTGAAGTCTCCTCCCGTGGGCCAGTGGCAGTCTGAGATGAGAGCGATAGCAACCTGGCCACATGATTCCTGTTCCATGTGCATGACAGCCACGTACACCCTGCAGATCGCTCGTCTGTGTGCAAGTCATGCTGCACATTAATTACAAGCTAGGCTTCAGTAAACTAAGCTACTTCCCTGTTTCTCGAGACACTTAAAGTTGTTTCTGTAATTCTTATTACTGATACGCAGCTGTTATGTTGGATGTGAACAGTGGGGAGAAACACCCACTGCAGAAGGTAAGATAGTTTTTGAAAGACACCAGAATTTTGGATTTTGTTTCTTTTTTTTTTTTTTTTTTTAGTCATTTGGCCCTATGAACAAACCCTTCAAAATGCCAGCAGAGTCTTGTGCACCTGGGCTACCCAAGAGTGCCCTGCAGCCAGAGACAAAGGCTGTAATAAATAAGTAAAGGAAAAATTGTTGCTATTTGTTGGATATTGAATGCTCCTGCGGTATGCGATGCTAATAATAGTCCTACTGATCAAGGCAGATGAGAACAACTAGAGCTGACCATGGCTCAATGAGCTGTGTGCTTTCTGCCCTGTTTCAGAATCAGAAGTTGAGCTAGTTAGGAGCCCTGTTTCTCACTCATCCATGAGCTCCTCCCCAGGAAACGACCTGTCCCATGAGCATCTTTGGAGAACATAGGTATTTTGTTTGAGAGTGTCTTAGGCTGGAAAGATTTGATCGAAGCATGAGAGAGCCTTTTCCTAGTGATTGGAGTCCCTGGGATGCCAGTATTGATCTGTGGGACTGGGGTTCGTGCC